TAAGAGAAATCAGCGAAAGTGTTCGAAATTTTATAAAATATTAAATTAATATCTCTAACATAATATTATACATGATCATCTAGAAATTATAGAGACGTAAGGGTAACGTTGGTATATTGTAAATTGTACAGTACTGCAAAAGTGTTTTTTCCTATCTTGCAAATTATGAACAGCACTTGGGTTATCTAGTGCATTTACTTTTAATTTAAATAAAGCAAAAGAGCTCACCAAAGTTTTACAAGCAGAGCACACCCTAAAAATGGGCATAAACCCAACCTCACAAAGAAAGACCCTCAAAGAACCATCAAGTGTAATACGACCCTAAGGCCCAAGCAGAGTAACATTGGCCAAAGTCTTAAAACTTCAATCCCTCAAACGCGGAAAAATGGCTTTTTCAGACCCAATCTTTCCAAAAATGTTAAATCGATACATAAACTTATATACATTGCTATTTCATACCTAATCTATTTAAAAATTTGAAATCCAGCCTTAATCTTCTTTTTAATATGAATTGCATCTCTCAACTTTGTATGGCGTGCGAAAACCAATTTTAAGTAAACCGCTGTTAAAAACTCTGTCAAGTGTTGGCTACGTGTCGTCCACGTAGGAGGTGTCCTCGTTTTGGAATGCTTTAGTTTCGGAAAATAAAAAGGAAAAAACGACATCTTTAGGTTCTTCAGATTACATCATCTTAGTGGAAAATGTCGCCTTTTTTTTCTTTAAGGGTTGTTCGTCTGCGTCGATTCTGGTAGTGGGTTTTGCAATTGTCTCAATCTTTGTTTGATCAGTGTTGCGACTTGGGATTATGTCTTTTTTCTTTTCTTTTTGTTCGCTCGTGTGGTAGACCCCATTCCCCCACCCATTTAGTAGGCTCCATTCTCAAAAACTTATCCAATTTTGTTGCCAATCTTGATCTTTGTCTTTTTTTGGAGTACATATTTACTGTTTCTTTCCTTGTTGTACCGTACTTGAATGATTGAAGATTAGCTTTTTTAATCATTGGGGTGCTGTTGTGTTGATGTTTTAATTGTGGTTACTTGCTAAGTCCTGTTTTTAAAATCTTTACTGTTGTTCCAGTCTCATTTGTGGTAATTTGGTTGAGAAACGCAGATATGGACTCAGCCAGTAATCGAAGGCGTACCACCCTCTCCGCAAGACAGTCACAGCTGTACAACAGTCGGGGATAACCTTTTTGTGTTTGGTAGCATCTTAACGATCTGCACATTCTAGATATTTGTAAGCTCTTCCATCTCTTCTTTTGTTGTCTGGTTAGATCAAGAAAATGCTTGTGTTAAATGCTTCTAGTGTGAGGTTTTTGAGTTTGAATTCAGTTCTTTATTCGGTGTGTTTCTTATTTTTTGTGTGATAGCTTCACATACTTGGATAAGCCAGGATGTTAGAGGTGAAGGACCTGAGGCAAGAGAAGCTCATAGTGCAACACTTGTTGACAAACGCATTTTTATATTTGGCGGCTGTGGGAAATCTTCTGGTTCGGATGATGAAGTATTCTATAATGACCTTTACATACTTAACACAGGTATAGCTTCAGGCTGCTCTTTCAGTTTCGTTGTTAATCCGCACATATCATTTATGTTAATTGATATGGAAGCTGAGAGAGATTTTGGTTCTTGGTTTTTTGGACGCATGTAATCATTTGCACAAGAGATTCAGTTTCGTTGTTAATCCTCTGCACAAGATAGCCACACTTGCTCAACGTGGAAGAACAAAATCATTGTAGTAGGTGGTGAACACTGGATGACTATTATCTCTCCGATGTTCATATCCTTGATACAGGTGCAAAACCCATTCTTGGATCAAATCAAGCACAAATTAAACTTTGACAAAACACTTGAAAAATACACCAACGATTGTGTTCTCAGTCGCATTACACACACACTGGATTTCAAATCCCTAATTCGTTTGCGAGTTCAGTTCTAGAGTTGAAGACGATGACTTTACAAAAATGGTGTCGTTTCTATTTTATGACGTAGTGTGTCTTTTTCTTTTAAAACAACGAATGCTCGACGTCGTCTTTAGGTGGCGTCCACGTAGACATAGATTGACGGAGAGTTAACGGGTTGCTCAAGGAGATTGGTTTACGCCACTAAAAAGAAGATTAAAGTTGGATTTCAAATGTTTAAATAGATTAGGTATGAAATAGTACTGTACATAAGTTTATGTATAGATTTAACTTTTTTGGAAAAATTGGGTCTGAAAAAGCCAATTTTCCCCTCAAACCGCCGATTCAAATCTCGTTGTTCATCTACTTATCATCGAACCAGATCCCCTCGCTGTCTCCATTAACTCTTTCCCAACCGCAATCCAACAACCACCCCATCATCAAAGAGAAAACCAGAACTGGATCACCTCATCAAGCGAAGCCACAGATGCACCAAGGGAGATACCAGTTAACCGAGGAGCAATTACACCAAGAAAGTCTATCAAAGGTTCGAAAGGGGTCCAAGGATCGGACCAAAATTTACTGTGGTGCCCATTACCAGGTATCACTTTCACCCATTGAATCATCCATTTCATTATTCGAATAATCTCTTTGAATATCCAGGAATATTTTTGCTTCTCCTTGATCTCCCAGATGCTCTCATCTTTAATGACATTTTGATGGATCCATGCTACCCAAATCGATTCAGTTCTGAAAAGCAGTAACCAAAATCTCAATAGTTCAATAATCATTTTTAAGATTAAAAATGAAGAATATAGCAAAAGTGTAATTGGACGACTAAACAATTGACTCTTTTTTTTGGATAGTTTATCATTTTGAATGTTCAAACACAAGTTATATACAATACATTCTTACGATTGATCGTTTATACTGTTGATTCATAACAAGAGCAAAGTAATGGATAAAATTGGTCAACATAGGCATTGGCAGAATTGCAGGATACATGATTTATCCGTTATTTATTTTCTCATAAAAGAAATAATAATACTAAAACGATCACATTTTAGACAAAATGTATTTCTTCCACAAAAGCTAAATTTGGAGATGCGGGGTATCGATCCCCGTACCTCTCGCATGCTAAGCGAGCGCTCTACCATCTGAGCTACATCCCCTCTTGACATCTTTGACCATAGTAGTTATATAGAAACAAATCAAGACGTTTTCATAAATTTTTTCTGTTCATCAGTGCTAGAGATTTTTTGAGAAGAGAGAATTGTGAGGAGAGAAGAGGGTGTCTTTCGATCGTTATAATATTATTAACAGTTAAAGAAACAAGAACCAATGCGAGACGAACTCTTCTTCAACATCTAAAACCAATTCAAGGCAAAGATGGTCTTATCGACTTTCTAATGTTCCTGAGGACACTCCACATAAATGTAGATACAAAGAAGAGAGCAATGCCAGCCACAATGGCTTCTTTTAAACCAAGATTCACCAGAAAGTTCACAAGCAGTCCCGCCAACACAACGCCGCAGAAATTAGACGAAACAGCAGACCAGAACGGCATGTCGAGGATGGATGCTATTATAGCTCCTGTCCAAGCACCGGTTCCAGGGAATGGAACAGCTACAAAGAGCATTAGCCCTAACCATTGGAACTCTTCCACTGGCCCAGCTTTCTCTTTAGCTCTTTTGAATAAGATTTCGAGTAACTTAGAAGCTGTTCTGCTCTTACCCGCCAAGAAAGACGCAAACTTTTTGAGGTAAAGTATGATGACAGGAACCGGAACCATATTGCTGCAAAATCCAAAAATCAGTGTCACTCACTGTTTCTTTCTTATGTAAAGTATTATGATTCAATCTCATTCAACCTCACAGATCAACTAAAACGAAACAGAAATGTGTCCCTCAAACAAGACAGATTGCAATGATCACACACAAGTTATCACAATTTCACCATCAAATTGATAGAAATGAGAACACTTGTTAAACTCTGTTAATTCAAACTTGTTCAACTAAACAACAGAAAAGTGCAAATTTTCACACTATAATCACCATAATCACCAATGAGACACTTGCAAACTCTGGTCTGAGAACAAATCAATAACAGTATCAAGATGCATCCAAACTAATCCTGTTCAAGGTTTTGGTATTGTGCAAGAAGTGAAAGTTTAAGAGACTAACCCAAGAACAGAGAAAAATGTGAGAACCGTAGGTTTTAGCTGCATCCAATAACCGACGGGAATAGCACCACGGAGCTCAATAACCGGAAGTGTGGCTAAAGCAAACACCACAGCTTCGTCTGGCCAACCAAAGCGGCGGAGAGTGGCGGCGATTCTGAGACCAAAGCTCGATGATTTGATAGAATCAGCCGCCGCTTTCGCATCGCCAGACCTAGCAAACCAAAGCAAAGAGAAAGAAGCCCAGAACACGACACATATGGCGAATTTCAATGGGTTTACGCCAATAGACGGAAGCTTGATGATTTCTTCTTCTTCTTCGGTTTTTCCCAGAAACCCATTTGAGGAAGAACAAAACCTGGTGAAATCACGGCGTAATGGGTAGTGAAGACTGTAACTTTGACTATGTAGGAAACTAATTCGATTCAATCCTGGAGAAATTGAGGATGAAACCCTGGTGGGTATTGAAGTCAGGAGATGGGTTTTTCTGGATGAGGAAGCTAGAGTGAAAGGAGAGATTGAGACTAATGTAGAAATCGCCATTTGCTCTGATGCTTCTTCATTTGATCATTGTTGACTCAATATATGGGATTTTCAGAAAACGGAAAATGCCTGAAATATCGACCGGAATGTTGAGATTGAGTTTGGTTTGTCAGATGTGGTTTTAGAGTAAAACCAAGAAACTCTGAATAATTTGACTTCTATTGGGGAGGGCTATTAATGAATGAATTATGTATTTTGGATATATGTGTAAACTTTCTTAAGTTTAGGGTTATTATTGAAATTTTAGAAACGCGCCGCGTTTGTGTAAATCATTCAGACGATGCAAACGGCGTGCAGTTTTGATTTAAGAATAAGCTTCTTCTTTTTTTTTGTTTCATCTCATAAAAATATCTTCGTGACAAAGAACTTCGGAGAGGAGAAAGATCAGTGTAGAACTATCGGGAAATTCTTTATTGGGATAGTTTGGAGAAAAGATGGAAGGAGGAGAAGAAGAAGTGAGCATCAAAGAGCTAGCTTCGAATCTCACTACTTACAAAGAGCAGCTCGAACAGGTCCGATCGATTTCTTCTCTGCTTTTTAGGATTTTGTTTTGTTTGTGGTTTCAATTCCTCGAACTTACAGAATTAAGGATGCTTTTGAATTGGTAAAGAACAATTGAATTTCATGATATCTAAATTTGAGCACATAAGGGTTCTGTATGATTGTTCTCGAGTTAGGGTTCGTAAGGATGCTTATTTAGGGATTCATTGATTGAAGAAGTGTTACTTAAGTTTTCATATTCTTCTTTTTTATTCCTTTGTAATCAATCAGCCTTGGGTTTCTAGTTTGGACGAAAAGGGTACTCGTGAAATAGAATGATAATGTTCATGTGCTTGTTCCTTTTTGGTTTAGTTTTGATAAACTGCTATCATGCATTTTCTTTTCCTCTGGATAATTTGATAGACTTTACACTCTATGGTTTCAGGTGAGGCAGCTTTTGTCCGAAGACCCTAGAAACTCAGAATATGCAGACATGGAAAAGGAGCTTAAAGAGGTGATTCATTCTTTTGAAACGTTACTTTCAGAAATCAGTTAATTGTGGTTTTGTGTGATCAAATTTCACATCTTTGTTGTCAATGCCATTTTTCTTAGCCTCCCTTAGTGTGTCTTCAGATTGTGCGGCAAACTAAAAAAACCCACTAAACTAGACTAGGTTACTTGAACACTAGGTTTTGCATATCATGCCCTTTTATGTTTCTATTACCTCCCTCTTTTGAAGGAATCAGCATGTTGCTCGAAATAGCAACACCATTTAACAGCTGGCGGATACAGTGGAGTTAGGTTTCAGGTCTGGGATTTGAAAGGTGAGTATATTTTTTGAGTGCCATGTAACTCCGGCAGTGGAGTTTGGGTCAGCCAAAAGCAGTTGTTGGAGTATACATGAAATGAAAGTAGGAGAATTAGCGAGGAATTCATCATTTGTATCTTGGTTATTGTGCAGGTGTGCTAATGTGGGTCGTGATGGCCAGCCTGCTTCTATCTCCTGATTTCTCGCGTTCGATCCCTGAAGTTCTATTTCTTGAAATCTTGATAGATATGTTTTGTGTGGAATTGTTATAATCCCCAATTCTCTGACACACTTGTTTTGTACCACGTAGGTGATTGCATTGACAGAGGAACTTCTTGCAACGGCAAAGCAAAATGATATTTCTCTACCAGATGCTGGAGTTAGTGCTGGAGCAACTGCTGAATCACCCGATTTACTAGAGGGTGCTTGGGGGAAAATGGTATGTCTATTTCTGTCATTTTAGGTCTTTTAGCTCTTTCCATCTGTTATCTCCAGCTCTTCATGGCAGGAACAAAATTGATTATGTGATATGTAAACATGGATGATTGATCCATCATCCATGTCTCCCGAGCCCACTACAAATTTTAGTGACTAATGCGTGATTGTTTTCTGTTTTTTTTTTTTTTTTGCAGGTTTCAAGGAATGACCCAATACATGAGGGTAAGTTCCCCATTGGAACAAAAGTTCAAGCTGTCTTTAGTGACGATGGCGAGTGGTATGTTAAAAAAACCCCCGGGTCTCTTGTAATTCATGATATGTCTACTGTATTCTTTACGTCTTTTTCCCCCTTTTTTTTTCTTGGTTTGATTAGTTAAATGTTCAGGTATGATGCGACCGTTGAGGCTCATACTCTAAATGGCTATTATGTGTCCTATGATGAGTGGGGTAACAAGGAAGAGGTAATGCTTCTATTCCCGTTTTTTTTCTATTTAAGAAAAAAACTAATGTTGAGGTTGCCTTGTTACAATTTAGGTTGATCCAGATAATGTGAGGCCAATAGAGAACAATGCTCTCGTGGAAGCTGAAAGACTAGCTGAAGCTACAAAAAATGCACTCAAAAGAAAGATTGAGCTAGCTGCGAGTTCTGATTTTCAATCCAAAACTCTACCAGCAAAGCTTAAAATCGATCCTAATGATCCCGAGGATGTGGTAAGTCAAAGATTAATTTTTTTTTCATTCTTTTCACCCCTTTGTTTTTTTGGGTCCTATGAGGTCGTGTTTATGCAAGTCCCGCTTGTTTTCAGAAAATTGCAAAGCGTAAGAAGATACATGCTTTCAAGTCAAAAGCGAGGCAGGAGCAACTCGAGGTTGTACAGAACAAGAAACAGAATGCTTGGCAACAGTTTCAGACGACTAAAGCCAAAACAAAAAAGGTTTTAGTAAATATTGCAAATTTGATGGCTTTATTTTTACCCCTCGCTCTCTGGTTTTGAGACAGGTTTTTGGATGTGTGTTTGTTTGAAGCAGGTAGGGTTCTTTACAGGAAGGAAGAAAGAGAGTATATTCAAATCACCAGAGGATCCATTTGGAAAAGTGGGTGTGACTGGAAGTGGTAAAGGTTTGACAGATTTCCAAAAGCGAGAGAAGCATCTTCATCTCAAGTCTGGTAATGGTGAAGGCACTGATGAATGAGAGATATTTCTAAGGGGTTTTTAAGGTACTAGCTTGAGTCTTTCTAAGAGTTTTAAGGAATAACTTCTGAAAACCAAAACCAAAAAGATGTAAACCCACAAGTTTTTTGTGGATTTCTGCTCTTTTAATTAAAGATTAGCTCTCTTTCCTTGTTGTTGACAATAGAAGAGTAGAAGTCGACCAATCCAATGACATACATTGCGTATCGCTTTTGAGTCTTAAAAAAATACACAATATACAAAAAAAAAGGAAATCGAATCCTCGAAGCTTGTAGGAAAAAGGCAAAGACACACAGTTTATAAACTGGGTTGCAGATTCAACTTGAGTAGGAAGGAAAAGGCATGCCATCGGTGAAGCGTCATCGGAGAGGCATCTCTTCTAGATTGATAAACGAAGGAAGCCTGTAGAGATTGAGATCAACAATGATGTCGTTGAAGAGATTCTGGTGAGGCTTCCGGTGATGAAGCTTATTAGATTCCAGAATGTATCGAAACACTGGAGATGTCGATTAGGTCAAGAGGCTTTGCGGAAAGATACGCAACTCATCAGAAAACCTCAAAAGATCCTAAACTACTTTTTGTCTGTGGATCAGAATGCGCTCATGATAAAACAGAAACCGGACTCTGTTTAGAGACATTGGCCCTGAAGACGACGACGACGAAGTCAGCTTCTCCGAAAGATCTTCTCTTTGTGGAATTCGAAGATAGTAAAGGGTTTCTCGAGATTTCAGAGAGCTGTGATGGTCTTGTCTGCGCCTACAAATTGTCCAAAGCAGTGGAGGTTATAAATCCGGCCACTGCAGTGTTCGAAGCACTCCCACTAGCCGAAATTCAACGACTTTGTACAGACCATCCGGACCTGGAGGCGGTGCGAGTTCCACTTGAAGATCATCATCTTATTTCACCTCCAGTGGCAACATTTACTCGGTTTGGATTTGGCAAAGATAGTGTCACGGGGAGTATTAAGTTAGTGTGGCTGTATAATAACAAGGAGGAGGTAGGTGCGAGGTTTTGGATTTAGAGGATAAGAAGTGGATGTTCGTGAGCACCACACCTCTTCTTGATCATCATCATCATCACGTCTTGTATAATCAGAGGCCAGCGTTTGCAAACGGATCTTTCTACTGGCTCACGGGAGATGAACAAGGAGGTCCTTCAACACAAACCAAACTCATCGTTTTCGACATTCACACAGAGATGTTTCAGGTCACTGAAACTCCATCTTTTGTCTCCCGTGATGCCTCTGGTGACAAAATTGGCTTATGCAATCTCGATGGCCATCTCTGCATTTCTGAGCAGCTGAAAGGAGACTGCAAGCAAGAGCTTTGGTGGAGGGTTAAAGACGACAACAGCAACACGTGGACGTGGGAGAAGATCTTCTCGGTTGATTTGCGCTCTACTTCCACTTGGTTTGGTGGTATCACTTGGCAGCCTCTCACGCCTCTGGCCATTTCCAGGGACAACAATAAGGTCATCCTCTCACTACCTCGTCAAGATAACCTAGTTGTCTTTGATCTTGTTCCTCGCTCATCATCAGTTTATCATTTGTATTACTCTGGTCCTTATGGCTTATCTGTTCCTTATTTCCCAAGTTTCTCACTTTCATTAAAACTTTAGCAAGTTTGTATCTTTTTTCCTTTTCCCCTGATTTATCTTCATTAATCTAATAACTTTAATGTAAATCAAATTATGAAATGAGCTTCTTTTTTTTTTTTTCATTACCAGCTTCATATTAGGCTATTAGCAATGCTCAGTAGAAACTATACGATCTGAAAGTAGCATTGAGAAGATTCCATTGACCAGCTCATCTTCTGAGCATTTAGTCAGTCAACTTATTCTTTTTCAAGCCCTCTGCGGATGCTTCTTTTCCATAGATTTTAACGCTAAAATTTAGTAATTTTACCTCTTTAATGTCCAAATTTTGTTTCACCCATCTTATGGTCATCGTCGTGTTTTAAAGCTCTGTTTCTAGTTTGTTTGAGAATATCCATCAAAACAGTTGATTTTCGTGTAAAAGCTATTAATTCCACACAAAAAAGACTTGTTCAAACTGTTGGAGTTTGCCGTGTTCTGTCTGACTTTGCAAAAATATGGATATATGAGATTCTAAAGGTAAACACTATACATACAACGACAATACATAATACTGTATATAAAAAAACCGGAGTTATTAACATGGCAAAGTTATACATGTCAAATTTAAACTTATTTGCACGTTTCTTTGTTAGAAATTAAGGTTAAATCCCCTAACTGGGACAAAATTAATGATGAACTGCTTGCTGTTTTGTCAAATTAAACTGAAGTTTGCCGTTTAATTCACATTACTTTCAGTTTATGACAAGTTATTTGCGTCTTACTCTTTTGTGAGGCGGACAGGTTGCTGTTTTCTATCAATTTTAAAAATTGTATCGAAGTACGAAAACAAAACACTACAAATCATCGAAAAACAAACAAGGCTAAAATCAGGGTCACATAGCCATCAAAATAAAATAATTAAAAAGCAAAAAAGGGGTCATCAATAACACAAAATCAAAGGTCCAATTAAAAAAAAAAAGCCTTTTAACTATTGCAAAAGAAAAAGGTTAAGAGAGAACACCCGCAGATAATAATAAATGTTGAACAATAAAAATCCTTTTCCGCAGGTTCAGAAAAACTAAGTTCTCAATTTCTTTCCCTGTACCCTCTTGCAATAGTGTCTCATCATATCCATCGATCGCTTTATTGTTGGGAATGTAATCACACAAAACATACACAAAACTCCTTACTCGTTGCGGATTGTCTGATACTTCCCCCACAATGGTTCAGACCTCTTCATATCAGCCATCAAGCTCTTGAACTTGTGGCTATAATCCACCCCACTGTTGAATTTGACATGAAGTTTTTTTTTAAAAAAAACATCAGATTTGTTTGGATTTAACGCAAAGAGAAAAATCACAATCTTAAGAAATGGGAGAGAACCTGATACGATCCAACGATGATATAGCACGAAGAGCGCTTCTGATCATGTCTTCATTACGGTCATGCTCTTGCTTCACTGCATCTTGCTTTGGCTTGAAGTTTATTGTTTTTTGCAGTGGTTCCACAAGAGAATCCAGTACTGAAACATCATAATAAGGAATTACGAAATAATAAAGAAAAAACTCTTTTGGTTTTACGGTTCAACTAATAATGATTTTTGGAAGGTATTAGCATACCAGCTAGCACGGCTGAGGGGCATTTATCCGCTAGTAGCGATAGTATAAGATGACAAAGCATCTTTAGATCATAATGGTCTGCATTATACAGAGATTCTGTTATAAGATTGTATAGAAAATGGTAGGTTAATTAACACAAGAGAGAGAGAGAGAGATAGACACTCACCTTCGAGTCCAGATTTGAGGAAAGGAATAATGAAAGAAGACGGATTCAGTTGATCAAGACAGCTATCGAGCAGAGTAAATACACACTCAAAAGCTGCTTTCCTCAGTTCAAGCCCATCATCAACAACGTGCTTAAATGGCCCTAGATCAACCGTTCTTATCAATTCTTTCTACAAAACAGAAATGTTTCGGTCAATGACAAAACTAAAACCTTCACAATTATCATGATAGGATTATATCGCTAAGAGTCATCGAAGAAATTACCTTAATAACGGTTTGATCATAAAGAAGCGGTAACAACTCAGGGAGGAGTCCTTTGATAAGGTTTGGTTTATAGTGAGCAAAGGTACTCAAAGCTGACACAGCTGCACGCCTAACATGCTGAATAAACCATGGCAACGGAGGAAAAAAGTTATGATTACAGACGCAGCAATATCCTTTCTTATCCAATGCTTATTAATGATTATTGCTATCATCGAATGGGGTTAATTTTATTGACTTACCCTGTCTCCATCTTTAATTAGCATGAGGAATGAAGAAATCTCAGGGAAGATGATTTCATCTAATTTCTCAGGCCGTTCCACTACAGAATACTTCACAGCAGTAACAACAGTCGCACGAGTAAAAGCAGCTGGACTAGTCGTCCTTACCTATAAAAATAGTATTCATCCTTAAAGCGTGACAGAAAATGAGTAAATGCAGATAGTTAGATTGTTCTCTAGCTACCTGAAGTGCAGGAACCAGTTTCTTGGGTTCTATCAACGCCATTTTTCCCAAGCATTCAGCAACAACATTCCTTACACCTTCTTCCTCACTTTCACAGTGGTTAAACAATAAATCAAGTATTTTCTTAACACTAGAATTCTGAAAGTCCGCTTTATCAACAGACTGCCTCACGATCACCTGAAAAACCGAGGAGCAATATATGAAATCCAGCAGAATATGTAAAATCTGATACCATAAAAGAGATACTTATTCACGAAAACCGACCTCCTTGAGTGAATGAAGAAGAATATATTGTTTTTTCTGTTGATTATCAATCTGGTCCAAGATAAAAGGTAAATAATTGGACAGATTGCCAACAGCTATGTTTCCAAGAGCATATGAAGCCGCAGACTTTATTTCTTCAAAAGGAGATTGGAAAGACTCAATGACGATTGTTTCAATGCCAGCATGTGCGCTTAGATCTTTCCTTCTCCCAATCTCACCAAGAGACAACAGGGCAAGATGCTGTTTTGCCTGCACAAGAAAAACATCATCACATATATCAGCATTCAAATAGCTGTAGATCTACAAAAGACAATAAGTCGGAGTCTATTTCCTAATGGCTAGCACACCAATCCAAAATCAGAAAGCTTACTGAATTTGTGCCGCTGTCATCTTTTAGGATTTCCATTAGCATTTTAACTGTAGACGAACAATTCTTATCACCTGCCGCGAGACAAAGAACGGCGACACACTGTGCAATTGAATATAGCGCTTGCTTTGGGACACCTCCAGACTGAGGAGAAGGCTTAGCACACGAAAGTAATGAGTCCAGCAGGGTGTAGAAACTCGTATTTGCATGATACACCAAAGCTTCAAAGAATCCTTGCAGAGCCTGTCACAAGCATACAAAAAAATCATTGCCGTTTTATCTTTCATTTAAGGCAAAGTATAAAACAATTCCAACAAAACACAAAATTACCGAAAGTGCTTGACCCTGTAGCAATGGGCTTTTAACTAAAGTTAGTGCCTGCGGAAGAACTTTGTTGCGAACTGCCAAACTGATATTTTCACTACAACTCT